AAGCCGAGACCGCGCGTGCTACTATATCTATATCGTTCTTGCTTAGATGCGAATATGCGAGAGAGAGAGAGAGAGAGAGAGACCAAGAACTGCGCAGATTCCATAAACAATACTCTGCGCATCAGAATCGTAACCAACGCCAAGCCGAGACCGCGCGTGCTACTATATCTATATCGTTCTTGCTTAGAAAGAGAAAGAACGAGAGAGAGAGAGAGTGTGCTGCTGTATCCCACTCTGACGCTAGCCTCGCCCCTTTCCCTCCCTACTCTTTCTCACTCTCTCTCTCTCCGTTTCTTACGCGCTACGGTATCCAGCTCTGCTCGACTTTCCCCTCTCTCAAAGCGTCTAGTGACGAGCGTCTTAAAATTTCCCAGTTCGCTCCAGCCGCAGAACCTCCGTAAAAGAGCTTCGCTCTAATAAAATGGCTGAGACGTGAGTTTCGAACACGAGACTCTGGGACATTAATCCAGCACCAAGCACGTCTGCTATCGAGTCATTGTGGTATATTATTTAGCAAACTTATATTTGTGTAGTTACCCACGTTCGAGAGTTTTTTTTAAGTTTTATTTGCTTACTCTATTATTTCCAGAGCTTCATAATATTAAGAGTATTAACTACCTTATTACTACGGTTTATGTAATATCCTGTAAAAAAAAAGGTGGATACAAGTCTCCCTATTTGAGTGTTCACCCGGTTTAAAATCGTGGATCTCGAGGAACACACGAATTCATTCGACCAATCAAAAACGTGGAACTAGTTCGAGAGTCTCGTTCAGGTGGCGCGTCGACGCGCCAAAACACAGCTCCAGATTATCACGCGTAGTATTACTATATATACACGACACGACACGAAAAATTGAGATCACCAAAAACAGGCTCATTGGCAATCTCCCTACTCATCTCTGCATATAGATGCTAGCAAACCATGCCATATCACGTGATTATATTACCGATTTATATTGTATACCAATGTTATTCTACAATATCCTTTGTGGTTTTTTCTTATACATTGGATTATATAACTATTATGGTTGTTATAACCAAAATGTTATATAATAGTTATACCCATTGTTATGTACCACCTTTGCGAAAATATCATTGAGCAGTTATGTTCTTGTAATATACAAACTGTTATATTACTTGTTACACTCAGGTAATATAACTACTAAATTCAGTGTTTGCTGGGCAGTCATGATCTCTTAGTGGATGGTGACCAAAGCAGCCAAATAATGCTCATCAAATAAAATGATCTATACTCATATGTTTCTCTTATATCATCACTTAAGCTGCAGGTAAAATTTACTAATTAGTAATCACAATTATACCCTAAATCTGAATTCTCATACTTTAATATTATTACCTTAAGAGGTAAATAGGTTGAGTTATGATAGAGGCCTATATACTGTAACAAAAATGTTACAATGAACTCCTCCCCGTCACCTGGCTCGAAGGTATCACTGGCCCCGAGCACGAGTATTGCGTACTGTATTGCGAATTACCGTTTATTGCGTCTGTTTAGTGTTTTAGGCCTATTGTATTTAGGATAAGATCCCTCCCCTCCGCCCTTCCCTCCCTGTCACCATTCCCCGTAGGGCACTGGCTCGAGAACCATCATCGAGGACCGCTACCGTGGACCATCTACGAGGACACATCATCTCTGGATGGACCGCGAGAGTGGCTAAGTTGCCGAAGCAGCGGAAGGCAGGGATGGCATGGATAGGAGGAACAACTGATCGAGACTCCCGTGGGATGATGCCCGCCAGCCGCCACCATCGCCACAGAGATGCAGCCCCGGTGTGTTACGTCCTATGCGTGAGCGACCGTATGCGGGAGCATCAGGGAGCTAGCATAGGTGTTAAGATCAAAGATCACGTAAAGGGTATTGGGTTCTTGCCACTTTAAGGTGCTAAAGCACGCCTATTTGCGTTTATGTCCCTTCGTCGATAGTTAAGATGAGGATCACAAACAGGTAGTAAATATATTGATTTGGAAAACTCACTCCTTCTACGGGAGTTTGGTTGAAGCTACTGGTAAAGGGTTTATCTGGATTTAGGAGCTAATAGGTTTAGGTCTCGAAATCAAGAGAAGAAGGTATAATTTAACTAAATATAATGAAACAATAGGTTAGAATACATGTAGCCGTTACAGTAAGATGTAGGAGAGAGTATGTTAATCTACTAACATAACGAAATTCGAATACAATGCATGTGTGATCGTCAACTTGTGTAGTATGGGTTACAAAGATAGATGTATATATAAAGGTGTAGGAATGTGAGTTACTTATCGGTGGATGAGCAGAAGAAGAGAGAGAGAGACGGCGCTCGGTTCTCGACGATAGTGAAATAGGTTTGGTTGAACGGGAGATTCTTGGTCCAGCCCTAAGGTGGACACTCGCCTAGACGAATGCTTATTGAAATGCCAAGAATTGAGTTCTTTTCGCGTGGACGTTCGGCACTGGAGTGATACACTTTTCGCTTGGGTCCTAAGGCAAGCTAGATCAAAATAGGCCCTAAGGTATTTGATCGGCACAACACTTAACTGGCGCGAACAATCGGCTCAAGACTCAAAAAGGAATACTGCTCTACCGGAGGATTGATCAGTAACTGAGGATGATCTGCATTGGAGTTCGTAAGGAAGATTCCGGGTTTGGAGGGGGTTGAATGCAATGTCAGGAAATTTCAGGGAATTTGGATACGTGTTATGGCGTGATCGGGACGTTCGTGTCCGGTTGTTCAATAGGATTCATATTACAGGCCTTCGATCGCGGGCTCTTCTTCGGATTAGTG